GGAGATGAAATAAATGAGATAAGGCTTGAGAGCTTACCTGGAATAAAACAAACCGACCAGCAGATGATCACAAGGTAGTACTTCCAGCCAATGTGATCGAAGCCCAGCGGCGCGGTTTGAAGTAGGATAATTGTCGCTAAAAACATGATCAGCTTGATTTGTAGTCGAGTGAAAAAGGGAGAGCAAGCCCGTACCTGCGAACTGTCCGAAGAGAGAAAATCCCATGCCGATGGGTCTGATCTCTGTCGGGAAGATTTCAGAGACATACAGGTACATGGTGGTGTCGCAAAACGTTCTGTATTCATCAGTCAGATTCAAAACTGTATATGTATATGTATGTTGTATAGAAGCTAGAACACTTACCCCTGGAACGCCAGGTAGAGGAACATGAAGAAGATGCCAAAGCCGTTGCCGACCTTGTTAGTGGTCCCGGCAAACTTGGCAGTCATGGCGGCAAGACAGGTGGTCGTGATGATGATGCCTACAAACCCGGTCATGTACATACCGCGGCGAGAGTTGACCCGGTCGTGTAACCAGGCACCAAGTGGGTTGTAAATAAGACCTAGTCGTTAGATTCAACTGTATGGAATCTGGGGGGGGGGGGTTAGACTTACCCGCTGTGGTCAGCCAGAGGGCACTCAGCAGTAAAGGCATTCCGCCAGTCATGCCCAGGTTCTCATACAACAGAACCGCATAGTTGTTCTGCTCGAGTCAGAAATGACGAGGAAAGGGGGAAGCCAGATGTCGATCACAAGTTGTAAAAGAAAGAGAGCAAAAACGCACAATAATCAGAGGCCCACCAAACTCGGCTCCCCACTGAGTGAGGAAACCGATGGCCATACGCTTTCTGTAGGACTTTTTCTTGATCACCGCCTTCCACACACTCCCATAGGCAGTCAGTTTCTCGGCCTCCAGGCGGACCTGTTCGCTGGTCTGGAAGAACTCCTCCTTGGCCACCAGGTTGTCCGGGTCATCAGGCGACTGGCGCAGCCGTTCAAGGACGAGACGCGCTTCCTCGAATTTCCCCTTGGAGATCAGCCACCGAGGCGAGCGTGGCAGCAAAGGAGAACCAAGTAGGAGGATCAAAGGCGGGAAGCATTGAAATGCCAGCGGAAATCGCCAAGCAAACGACGGGTTGCTGTCTTCAGCGAAGTAACAACCGTACCCGATCCAGCCAGCAAGCATATATCCAAACACGAGAAAGATTGCGTGGTGACCCACCAGCCAGCCCCGACGGTACGCACTGGACATCTCTGACAGGTACATGGGACACACGGTCACAAGCATACCGATTCCCAGACCACAGACAAACCGTCCGGCTTGGAACATCCTACCCCAGAGTCAGCAAGTTTGCTCGGAAGATCAAAACGAAGAATAAAAAGAAGAGAGAAGACAAAGCAGAGAAACGCACCTGAGACTGTTGGACCCCGACTGGAGGGCACCTCCAAGCACGGCGAAGAAAGAGCCCAGTTGGATGTTGACCTTGCGGCCAAAATAGTCGCAGGACCACATCATGAACAGTGTCGCGATCGCTCCGCCCGCGCTGTACACACCATTTGCCGTGGATATGACAGGCGTGGTGATCGTGTCATATCCCGGCTGACCATCCTCTGGCAGATTGAAATAGGCATACCATCCTGGCTGGCCAACCGTGCTGGAAATGATCGATGAGCAGTAGCCATATGTCTAGCATTAAATTCATTATCCGTCAGTTTCAAATGTTGGCAACAAGGCAGTATCACTCCTGTAGTGGGTATACACAGGATTCAAAAGGATGCTCACCATCGAACCAATGGCCACGAAAATGGTCACCAGCCGATTATAACGACTGGTCTGAGTTCCGAAATTCCCCATGATGAAGGTGCTGAGGCCTGCAAATCTCACTCCGTATCCGGAAACAACTTTCAACAGATGTGAGCACGGCACGCGCGAGAACAGAGTACAAATCGCAAAATCGCAACCTCTAGGACTCGGCTCGCCGTAATAACTGAACCAAACCAGGCGCACAGGGTTCTGGGAGGGGGGGAAAAACTAGTAGATGCTTGTTCAGTATGCTCCTTGCCGATCTTTTATCCTCGCGGGATAGCGTCTCACGCTCCAGTCATCGTATCGTACAATACGCGGTCCTCATTCCCCGCGCCATGTCGAGTTGAAAACTGCCTATCGCCCTTCATTCTCGTCTCGCCGGACACTATTATCCCTCCCAGCCAACAGTAGACCGTTGTCGTCAGCCTGGCAAGCCGAAGGAGACCACCACGGCACCGGGATCTGGACGTCAGGGGGCCAGCCAGGCCTTCTCAGGTCCACCCACGATAAGTCGCATTTTCTGACAGCACACCAACCAGGATCCGTCTTTCTTCCCTGCACTCCATACTCCGTACAGAGCGCTGCGTACGGACGTCCGAAATACTGCGTAAGGTTGTTGCACAGCTCCTGCTGCAGCTGCAGTAGTACCTTAGGTACCCTAGGTTAGGTAACTAGGATAGGTAGGTGCTGTGGGTTGATAGTCACTAACCTAGTCGGGACTAGTCGGAGACAGGTGGGCCTTTCAATACGTGACTAGCGAACTAGGCTAAATTGGGTTGTTTCCTAGTTGGAGCTGAGTTCGACCTCGACCTGCTCCTGCCGAAATACGACTTACGTAGTCTCCTTGTCAACTTCAACCAACTGCGTTGCTCAGGCAGCTCTCGGTACCTGCTCCGTACCTCACTTAATGACACCCGAGAAAATGAGAGTGGAGCAAAGAATGAGGTACGGATCTTTGCCCGCCGTGGAGTAAAGCGGTTGGAGCTGACCAGGTGGTTGACAGGTTTTCGAAAGGAGATCTGCGTGCACAGCACCCCCAGACCAAGGGGGAACCCCGATCCTCAAAGCTATTGAAGCCAGGTGACTGGCCCTCCGATACAAGGATTCCGGCTATGTGCTTGCCCGAAATAGCTGCTTGCAGATGGCCCTTGCACTGGCCAGCAATAATGGTGCAGAACGATGGGTCGATGACTCGATACCCAGGTAGCAAGGCTTCTAACGACGGTCCCGGAAATTGGGTCCTCTAACTCGGCAATAACTCGCACCTTGCGCTATGACTATAGTATGTTTCATGGTCTTTTCGCTGCACAGTGCGTGCAGCTAAAGAATAGCTGGGATCCTCTGATCCTTCAGTGTCCACTGTCAAATGCCTGAAAATTACGAACGATAGGCGAGCCCCAGTTAGACTAACTCATGGCCATCGTCGTCAGGGAAACAAATAGCCCTACCTAACGTGTTCAAGGATGTTGCCTGCGTCTGGTTTATACAGTCGATATTTCCATCGTTCTTTGTGCTAGATACTTTGTATATTCAAATCGTCTGACATGGCTTCTACTGGATCTCCGTTCGACATTCCGTTTGACAAGCTGCCAAACCCTAAGCAGGTCTGGGTGGGAAGCCCCGGCAGCCATGAGGAAGGGCTGGGCAAGCTTGCCTTGCTAACACCCCAGGTGGTCGCCCAGGCAGCGTCGGCCGAGATCAAGACGGGGCGCCGAGTCACCATGGGGTGGGAAATGACCAAATTGGACTTTCCCAATCTCAATCGTCAGCCCTGCCAGCATCAGATCGTGCCCCTTCTGGGGGGTATTGCCTTTGATGACATTTATTCAATGAATCCTCGTAAGACTTCAATAGTTGCTAATAGATTGTTCGATAGTCTGTCGTTAACACCATTGGCAGAGCAAAGCAGTCAATGGGATGGTCTGCGCCACTTCTCCCAAACTGTGCCTGGCCAAAGCCAGCGGGTGTTCTATGGCGGAACGACTTCCCAAGAAATCAATGATCGGGGGAATGATCGGATCGGGCTTCAGCATTGGGCGCAGGAGGGAATTGCCGGTAGGTGTCGTGGTACACCGTACTGAGAATCGATCAATCAATCTGACGCAAGCCCTTTGGCAGGCCGTGGTGTACTGATTGACTATGCATCCTGGGCGGAAAAAAGGGGGCTCAAATATACCACCTTTTCGACTCACCAAGTGCGCTTGCAGGATCTCCTGGAGATCGCAAAGGAGTGCAACATCACTTTCCAGAAAGGCGACATCTTGTTTGTGCGCATCGGCGTCATCAAGGAATGGGACACCATCATGACTACAGCCCAGAAGCAGGAGTACTCGGACAACCAGAACCCCGAGCATGCGGGGGTGGAAGCCACCACCGCTGTTCTACGATGGATCTGGGATACCGGCTTCTCTGCCATTGCGGGTGATGCTATTAGCTGGGAAGTAAGTGTCTCTTCTCGCGTACATCATTCAATAGAGTCAATTACTCACCCCGACTACCAGGTGTATCCGCCTCAGAATCCCGATATCTTCCTGCACGAGTATATCATTGCTGGATGGGGCATGCCCATCGGTAAGCTTGAACTTTATACCATCCTTCCAATCCTTCGCCCCAATAGTTACAGATACTATTCCCTTGTCCCGGTCTGTTTTACTGACCCGATTTTTTTCAATTCTGCAGGTGAGCTATTCGACCTCGAGGCTCTTGCTCGCACCTGTGAAGAACTCCACCGGTGGACCTTTTTCGTAGCATCGACACCATTCAACATGCCTGGAGGAGTTTCTTCGCCACCGAATATGATGGCAATCTTCTGATTAATTTCTCATCCTTTTCTTTTTCAAAAATAAAAAATAAACAACAAAGAACAGATCTTTCTTCCATTCTGAGTTTACTTTTTTATCCCTCATGCGGGTGCCATGAGGGGGTGTTTATTGCTCGCTTAATCCCACCCAACTCGATCATCGTTCCTTCGACTCTCTTGAGAAGTACTCCGTACCAGAATGATCGCTAGTTAGAAAACAACACAGACAACAGTGGAGACAGTGAGATATGAACACTCAAAGTTGGAAGATTGTCCGAATCGCCAGATGACAGAGGACAGCACAAGGATGAACCGGCACCACGGCACCACGAAACGAACGGCACGAAAAAACCAATTACGGAGTTACTTTCACGGAACGGGCCTTTTGACAGCGGGCTCCCAACTTGTACTGCCAAGTTCTCCGTCTGTATTCATGGGAGAAGACCCGCTTGTTGGAAACTAGCCGGACATCCGCGTGGGCCGTCCGGAGGGCGATGTCGATCATTCTACTACTAGAGAAGTACGGAGCAAATGGGCCAAGCCATCATGGAGCCATCACGAGCTAGTATTACAGGTCTAGTATTACTACATACGACATGAAGGATCAGACGGCTAACAGGCCCATAGGTTCAGGATTATTGATTGTGGCCATGACTCGCAAAAAATGGTCTAATGTTACAAGGCTTACAAGGCTAACGATGCTTACTCTGTTCCTCGGACGAGTAGTTGACCAACTACGGAGTATTTATGGAGCACCTAGTTTAACTCACTACGGACTACGAAGTACATCCCGTCCGGACTTCTGACATTCTCTTTGTAGCAGCGATCTACTTTCAAATTCCGTATCTTTGGTCATCCTTGCCTATCAAAGATCGAAAGTTGGCAGGCGTTAGAGAGCTACACAAGGCTATTGTGTTTCCGCCTGGTCAATCGGTCAAGAATTCTCCTGGATGCATATAGCGTCGGAGCATTGAGGAAACCCTGTTGGATCAAGCTCTCTGATAGTCAACATCGGTTAAGCTCAGGATATGAGCTTGGTCATGCAATTCTGGTGTTCTCATCCAGGCTTCCTAGGAAGAGGAGCACCGGGATGTTCAGGGGCAGGCAGCCCTATTGGCTAAAAATTTTCATGTTTGGTGCTAGGTCTGTATACTCCATACAGGAGCCAGTGGGAACGATGGGCCGTGTGAGTGTATATGTGTGCGCGCGCGTAACTACAGGCATGCCTGGCCTGGCCACACCCTCAAGGTCAAGTCATTCTTTATTGTCCTTATTCATTCCAACAGCTTTGGTCCATCTGATCTGGTGAAAGGAGTGTGGAGGAAAGGTTTTTTTTCTTTCTTTCTTTCTTTCTTTTGGGCGGCCACCGAGATATCACAATGGCTGTAGCCATGTCTTCTCGCCGTTCCTCTGGCCCGAACACTGCTCTACATGAATGGAACCTCGTTACTCAATCATTATGCATCATCTTCATGACCTTCTTCTTTGCCTTACGGGTGTACACCCGCAAGTTCATCCTCAACTGCTTTGGAAAGGAGGACTGTAAGTATCCATGTCTACACACTGACGGGCGAATGAACACAAGATATAAGGTATTCAACAAACGGCTGGCTGATGAAGACTCAAATAGGGATGTGTGCAGGTGCTTGGGTGAGTGAAAAGCAGGCGAAGACATATCTTGTACCGCCAAATACTGACTGTTATGTTATAGTTTCTCGGCACATCATACTCCATTATTGCATTGCTCAGTCAGTCCCCGGTGCTTTGATTCCTAGTACTCTCTAATTGTCCTGCTTTTCTAACTTTTCGATTCATTTCCTTGACCAGTGGGTCATTATGGCGGTGGTCTACATCAATCTGAAGTCTCTGCCTCTGAGCTGATCTCATTCGACAAGGTATGGGGACGATCCTGTCAAGGCAACCCGATATCTTTTTTGCACAACCCAAAACTCACGCTTTGGATTGAACTAGACTGTATACGTGACGATGGTTATGTACGGCCCGACGGCGTTCTTGACCAAGCTTTCGTTGCTATGGATCATGATCCGAGTCTTCAGCCCGTACCGCAAGGCCGTCAAGTTCATCTACATCCTGCTGGTGATCATGCTGGGATACTACATTCCGGCCGTCATCGTGAAGATTCGAATCTGCCTGCCTATCTCCAAGTTCTGGGACAGCTCCGTGGAGGGCTCATGTCTGGACGAAACTTCGATCATCCTCGCCGACGCGGTGATGAGTACCGTGACCGACCTGACGATCCTCCTACTACCGTTGCCCCTCACACTCAGCCTCCAGATGTCGGCCAGGAAGAAGATGCGAGTGATGGGCCTATTGGGCGCGGGAGGGCTGGCCTGCGCAGCCAGCATCATCCGTCTCGTGCTGATCATCCTGACAAGCTCGTCCAAGGATGGGACATATGCGTTTATGCGAATCAACATGTTTGGGTGTGTTCTAGTTGCTTTCCCTCTCTCTCTCTTCTTCTCTAACATTTTTTAGAAACGCCGAGGTCGCGATCGGAGTCATTTGTGCCTGTCTGCCAGCCCTGTCGGCGCTGCTCTCGCGTGTCCTGCACGAGTACTCGAGCAACAAAGAGACACGCCCGTCCGGATACGAGATGAGTCGGAATAAGCATCAGCGCGGAACCGACAGTAAGAGCCACCACAGCCGGCTGCCGACGACAGTGGGGAATGAGTCGGACCAGGACGTGCTGATGCACCATCCGCAGGGAGATCCGCGGATCGAGACCTCCATCCAGGGCGACCGCTCGCCCCGGGGGCAGGGGTTTGCAGAGTTGGGGATCATGAAGACAGTGGATGTATCGACTTCAGTGGAGACGATGAGATAATAAATCTAGAAGATTATATAAGATGTTTACGGCTAACATTATTGACTCAACCTCTCTTATATATCCTGTAACTCGGGAGGTACATATAATTCCTTTAATCTGGCCACGACACATCAGGACGTATGATGTGGTAGTATGCAGCTTGATGGTCTATAATATAGCTTAAATATATTCACCATCACGAGTTAGTACATACTATTCTATTGAACATTAGTACAATAGAAATAACCTTCACCTCCATCGGGTTCCTGTACATCTCCCACCACGGGGTCTCCGAGTCCGTGATTTCTTCCCTGGTGAACCATCTGCCGGAGCTGTTTGACCTTTCTGCTTGCAAAAAGGAGGAAGTCGTGTTGTACCATTCCCCCCTATTTCCTGGGTACAGTTTTATAGGGACCGTGACGACAGCTGGGGTTGTCGACCAGCGCGAACAGCTTGAATCTGCGACCGAGTTGCCTGTGGTATACAGGGAGGGAAAGCCTTTATATGAGAGACTTAAAGGGTCTAACCAGTTAAGAAGTGCAAGGACTACAAGAATATATAACTGACAATTCTAGTAGCCTGGTGCTAGTCGTCAGATTATCGAAGAATATATATCGACGAATTGACACGACTGGGCGATCGGTTTCTGCGTCTTGTGGCTGCTGCCCTCTCCTTGCCAGAGGATACCTTCTTGCCGTTTTTTATCAGAGCAGCATCGGTTGAGAGGTATGATTTCCAGAAGGGCGATGGTCATGCAGAGACTGGAAACACCCAAGAGGAGATTGATTCGCTGTTTCTGCAGGGCAGATATGAGTCTTGGGGGGGGGGGAAGTTCTATCTGGACATTTACCAGGGGTATATTCATGAATAACACTTTTCAGTGAAAAGGCAATCCTCTATTAGGAATATAGTATTCTATTCCATCTAGAACCTCCTCTTGTCCTGCTGAGGCTTGTTCTCCACCACCAGCTCGATCTTCTCCAGCACCTCAGGCGTCAGCTTGTCGATGACCGCCAGCGCAGCGATGTTCTCCGTGACCTGCTCCGGCCGGGAGGCGCCTGTGATGGCGCTGGAGACGTGCTCGTTCTTAAGCACCCAGGCGAGAGCCAGCTGGCCGGTGGTGACGCCGAGCTCGTCCGCGATGACCGTCAACGCGGCGGTCTGCTCAACCTGACGATTCCACGCCTCCTTGCCGAACTGGGTCTTGCGGAAGTTGCGCGCCATTTCGACATCCTGCGCCAGCCGTGACTCCGCCGGCGGTTCCGTAGCCCCGTTGTACTTGCCCGTCAGGATCCCCTGCTTCAGGGGGGAGAAGACGGTGAGCCCGAGTCCGTACGAGTCGTACAGCCAGCGGAACTCACGCTCGACCTTCTCCCGCGTCAACACGTTATACTGTGGCTGCTCGACTGCAGGGCCCACGAGTCCCAGCTTCTCAGCCACCCGCCACGCATCCGCGATCTCGCTCGCCGTCCACTCCGAGGTGCCCCAGTAGAACGCCTTGCCTGTGTTCAGCAGGTGGTTGAACCCGCGCACCACTTCTTCCATCGGTGTGTCCCGGTCCGGCCGGTGCGCGTACACCACGTCCACGTAGGGTAGATCCAGTCGGGCCAGCGACGCCGCCATCCCTTCCACCAGATGTTTACGTGACAATCCCACGTTGTTCAGTGGGCGGTTTGGTGTCGCCGAGTTGCTTTGGCCCCAGTATAGCTAGGCAGGTTAAGAAACAACATATAACTTTATAGGTAGTTTATACTGCAAGTACCTTTGTGGAAATGACGAGGTCGTTCTGCTTCCATCCAAACTTCTTAATCGCCTGGCCGAGAACGACTTCTGCCTCCCCGTTCGAGTAGGATTCCGCCGTATCGAAGAAGTTGATTCCAGCGTCGTATGCCACCTTCATACATTCAAAGGCAGTTTCTAGAAGTCAATTGTGTTAGAAACAAGTGGCTGGGTAGAAACAAGCAGCTAGGTGGTTAAGTGTTTGGTTTACCATTTCCTACATGGCCGCCGTAGGTGAGCCATCCACCCAGCGAGATGACGGAGACCTTCAGGCCTGTCCGGCCTAGGGAGCGGTATTGCATTTCAGGGAGGGCCATAATCAGTTATTCGATGTTCTGCGATTTGATGGTAGGGTTAGAAACGAGTTAAGAGGGTGTTGATTTGATGCTGATTCTGGTGATAAATTGAAGCGGGGTAGAGTCTAGAACCAGGACTGCACTGTTGCATCAAACTGACTGGAGGTAAGTTCCTTGATTGGCCTTATTTATATTACTGGTTCATGATTTGTAAGACCGGGCTTTTCCCTGATTGGGACTCCGATGAAGTAGTATTCTATAGGCAATCTCTCGTAGTCTGAGACATTCTTGGCACTATCTTATAGTTACATGCTATCTATACATCCCAACAGTCAAGCCGCACAAGTAATGGGTTCGTTTTCGGAATATACTGCCGTCGATGAGCCTCGACACTTGCAGTACGTCGTCGTCGGCCAGATACCCTCTCCCTCACAGCCGGCCGTTGCGCAGTACGTATTCACACTGGTTGAAGTGGTCATCCCCGGCGGACAGTCCGAGCGGGGCATGCAGAATGTATAGACAGACTCGGACAGCAGGGTTGCGCTGTACCATTGATCGCTGGCGCAGGAACACGACACAGCTATATACAATTAATACGGAAAAGAAGAAAAAGTGAGGGAGAAACCATACCTCTAATGACGGTGGATGTCCCCCCCAGTACCCCCGCATACAAAGTCGAAGTCGTCCAGGGAACGGCGCCGTGCGAACACTCGGTCGTGATCCACGCTGCTGAAACTGGGTAGCAGGTTGGCTGTTCGATGCAGTCGCCGGGATGCCAGACGCCCGGGTAAGAGCCGCTCGGGCACTGGATCGGGGTCGGCACGCTGTAGCAGTACGACGTGGAGGTGCCGTATGTGCAGTCCGTTGTATGGAGGATGGTCGAGCCGGGGGGACAGGCTGAGCTGGTAATTGTCGGGCCTTGGAGAGACTGGAGAGCGGGTGTCTGCGTCTGCGTCTGCGTCTGTCCAGACACAGACACAGAAACGGCGAGAAGGATTACCAATTGAATGTCTATCATTTTTGGATTAATCAATAGACCTTTACCTGCTGGAGGTAAGTTACAGACAGATGGTCGTCCAACTTGCATTTCTAAACCATTGTCGGACGAGATGCAGTGTAACTCGACTAGCCAGACTCATACAGGTAGGATCGACGGGTCCTCTTATTGAATCTGATCGAGTCCAAGTCCTCCGTATATGGTTGCTTCCATTCAAACCGAATTCATGATACCAGTAAACTCGCCAGTCGTTGCCATGAGGGACCTGCACTCGATCATGACGTCTCGACTGGACTCATATTGCACTCCGTCTCATCATCTCTATCTCAATTGATAGCAGGCATTTAAACCTAGACTAGCCTACTTGGTCCGATATTAGTCAATGATTCAATCTCGTTTATTGATCTCCTGACTAACTGAACTGACCAGGCACGTTCAGTCCAGGCGGGGCAGAGAGTTACGTAGTAGTAGCAACACGCCATCAACCTCACCACTTGAGGGCATTTAAACTTGAACTTGAGCTTCATATCTCTCTGATCTGAAATAAAAGGCTCATCGCACAGTATCATCCATCGCCATCTCCATTGTGTCCCTGGATTGCCCGTGTGTGTACCCTGGGCGCTGCTCTTCCTCGACCGACATCGCGGGGCCAAGTCGGAATCCTTCTTTTGCACGGAGGAGACAGCTCCGAAACCCTTGCTTGATCGGCTCTACCGCCCATCAACTGAGTCATTGACAGACTTTCCATTAGTTAGTGACAGTCATCATCGCGCTGAGCTGTTTGCTCCAGTTGGTGGTGGGGGAAAGAAAAGAGTCGGGTTGGTTCAAAGAAGTTGTTGTTTGTGTTGGGAGTTGCTCGACAGGGTTAAAAGCGTGGGTCGAAAACTCAATCACGAGGATCAAGTTACGTACGAACCTCAACTTTTCTTCCTCTCAGTGAGAGAACCTGTTGAGCTCTGGTTCTTCTGTTGTTTTTCTTTCTGTCTTTTCTTCTTTCTAATTTCCCTTTCAAAAAAGAACAGAAAAGAAAAAATAATACATCCTTGGAAGATCCTGAGATGGCGCCATCGGAGACAGTAGGCCGTGACGGCCTGATAGTGTCGGAAGGAGAGGAAATCAGAAGCGAGGTTGAGGCCAAGGACGACGATGCTCTCCTGGTAAGTGATGGTCTGAGTCTTTCGGGATTGAGGGAGTCTGGTACTGATAGGTTAATTAAATGTGAAGCAAACCATGGGCTACAAGCCAGTAAGTCCGTCGCTGAAGATGACAGACCCAGACGGTCGTTGACGTGGTAGGTTCTTCATCGGACCTATAATTTGTTCGAAAACTTCTCGACCACCTTCGGTAGGTGTGATATCTTCTTCAGTCTAGGACCAACTGCTGATGGGATTGCTGTTCAGCTGCGTTGTACTTTGTCGGTGGTGTGCGAGTCACTTACAGTACCGGGATTGCCGCGGGAGGGAACTTGGCCTACTGGTGAATTTCTCTCTCTTTTGCTTTTGTGAAAAGAGAAATGGTAGTTGCTTTCTATCAAGTGCTCACATACACAGGACGAGCTACCTGGTCACCATGGTGTTCAGTTTCATGACCGCTGCAGTCATTGCAGAGGTGTGCTCGGCCTCGCCCTCGGCAGGATCCATCTACTTATGGGCTGCCGAAGCAGGAGGGCCCCGGTTTGGACGGCTGCTGGGCTTTGTCGTGGCGTGGTGGAGTACTACTGCCTGGACGACGTTCTGTGCCAGTAAGACGATTGTTTTGGTTGGTCTGTGGGTATGAAGCAGCTCAGCTAAAAGGGGGACCTAGGCAACACACAGGCTGCTGCGAACTATATGCTTTCGGTATTTGGAGATTGCTCCCCTCAAAAAAAGAGACATCAGACCGGCTGACGTGGTAGGAAATCACTGTCTTCAATCTTGATTTCCCCACCGACACAGACAATATCAAATTCCGGGCCGTACAATGGATCTGCACCGAAGTTCTCCTGGCTCTTGCTGCGCTGTTGAACTATTTGCCCCGTATGTCCATCTCCTAATCACTATTGGTCTAGGCGAGGCTTTTCGACTGACTGACTGACACCCAATCCAGCCAAGTATTTCCGCTACGTGTTCTGGTTCTCGTCAATGATTGTGATGCTGGACTTCTTCCTCAACCTCATCTGGCTCCCCATCGGTGCGGCAAACACCTGGGGGTTCCGTTCTACGCATGAGGCCTTCATGACGACCTACAACGGTACCGGAGCGCCTCCTGCCTGGAATTGGTGTCTTTCGTACCTGGCCACGGCCGGAATCCTCATCGGTTTCGATGCCTCGGGCCATGTCGCCGAGGAGACTAAGAACGCCTCTATCACCGCTGCCCGGGGCATTTTCTGGAGCACGGTGGCCAGTGGAGTTGGCGGCCTGGCTACTATCATCCTCTTCCTATTCTGTGCAGTTCGTCTCCGTCTTTTGACCTATTTCCTTCTTCCCCCCTTCTTTTTTGTACCACCAAACCACTGACCATTACCACAGCCTGAACCGGCTACTCTCTTCGCTTTTGGCTCCCCACAGCCCTTTGTGCCTCTGTACGCCGTTGTGCTAGGCAAAGGAGGCCATATCTTCATGAATATAATCTGTATCGTTGCCCTGTGGCTGAACACCGCCATCGCCATCATTGCGGCGTCGCGCCTGGTCTTTGCCGTCGCCCGCGACGGCGTCCTCCCTTTTTCCGGCTGGGTAGCCCAGGTCAAGAACGGCCAGCCACGCAACGCCGTGAACGTCGTCTGGATCGTGGCCGCCCTCGTCAGCTGCACCATCCTACCCTCCAACGTGGCCTTCACCTCGCTCATCTCCGCTGCGGGAGTCCCCAGCGCGGCCGCCTATGGCCTCATCTGTCTAGGCCGCTTGCTCTGCACCCGCGACCGGTTCCCCACCCCGCAATGGAGCCTGGGCCGCTGGAGCAAGCCGTTCCAGTTCATCTGTGTCTTCTGGAACGGGTGGGTTGTCGCCGTACTCTTCTCTCCCTATGAATTTCCCGTCACCGGCGGGAACCTCAACTGTAAGGCCTGTCTTCTTTGCCATTTGGGATTGAGAATACCTTTTGAGTATCTTTCTTACTGATTCGTCAGATGCCCCCGTCATTATGGCCGCTGTAACCGTCATCGCCCTAGCCTCATACTGGTTCATGCCCGAAGAGGCCTGGCTGCCGCGCTCGCGCATCTCACACTTTATTGAAAGCAAGGGTGCCGTCGTGACCGAGACGATCGAGGAGACCTCGACTGCCGGACAAGAAGAGTAGTCGTAGCCTTTTGGATGAAGGTACAAGACAAGGTGCCCATGTGCATATATAAACTGATTCAACGTCAACATGAATGAATGGCTGGACTGTATACTGTTACTACAGTGAAAAATTGGTGTACTGGTAGATTAGATTGGATTAGATGCTGGATAATAGACACTTGGACTTTGGACGAATGCCGTAGACGAGAATAGAAAAGAGCCATAAACTTAGGTAAACAGTGTTAGAGGATTGGGTTTTTGCACTTGACAAGGACATCCTTAACTTAGGTAGTGACTAGTTATACTTAATTTGCACAATGTTATCTGCCTATGATTACGACGGGAAAATCAGCAGACTCGGGAGCCCCGTTAGCTCAGTCGGAAGAGCGTCAGACTTTTAATCTGAATGCCGCGGGATCGAGACCCGCACGGGGCGTCTTTTTGTTCCATCCATTTTTTTTTTCTCATTCAGAGTTTATTTGTTATGACTGTATATACTTAATAATAGAGTTAATTCAGCTCACCTGCTTATTTCATCTACTATAGATTATAGCTGTCGTTTCAACTGCGGCTCTTCTATTTTATCCATGCCATAAGAGTGCTAATATCTCAGAGGGACTACTACTTTTACTTATCAAGCTTTTGTCTTTATTGACCCGATTGTGCGCTCCTAATCAACTACAGTCGTTGATAGTCGAGCGCCGATTGGTTGCAGCATAAAGGGGTCACTGACGGCTATAAAGATTATACAGTGTCCCCGGCGATGGATTTATGTGTACGCTACGCGGGTTAAACTATGGTATTCCTTATAGTTCTTACCTATCTCCACCTCCCTTGTAGGACTGTTACACTCAAGCGCCATGACTCCTACAGGACAAGAGAAACAGGGAGAGAAAGTCGAAAGCCCAGCTGAGCACCCGGTCACTGGGAAATAAGAGCGACGGACAGAACAGAGGGGAAGGTAATAAAGGACAAAACACCCCAGGAGAAAGGAAAGAAAAGAGGAAGCACTAGGGAAAAGAGAAAGGTAGGGGAGAAGAAAAGGTAAGGATAAAAAAAGAGTCATAAGCAAGGCAAAGAAATGACAGAGGGGAAAGAGAGGAGAGAGAGAAAAGAGGAGAAAAGGGCAGGCAAAACAAAGAGACGGAGGAAGTTGCAGGAACACAGGAGAAAATGAAAGACAAGACAAGTCTTCTCACCGTTCCTCCGCCACGGCTCTCTGAACAAGAGCGAAGACAACCTCGCACAACTCCTGAATCTTGTACGGCCGGTCACTTCGCCAGGGCCCAAACCTCTTCATCACGAGGAAGTTATCCTTGGCGAGCGTTCTACGCTCACCAAGGATGTGCTCCCGGTATTCAGGGGTATATTTCCCCTCGGTGATGTACCATTCTGGTCCATCTGTCGAGATCATGATCGTTCTATTGTTGACAAATTGGTTAGGAAATGACAGGATATAGGGAGACTGGGTTGGAAGACTAACCTGCCATCCTAAGGACCAGAGGGAGGTTTCGCCATCAACCAGGCCACCATCTCGGCGGTCTCCTGCATGGAGACGGCAGGCTCATGAGCCGCCCTTTTTCTCGCCTTTGCCTCTAGAATCAGGCTAGTTTGCGACAACAGGCCCACCGAAAGGTACCCATCGATCTGGGCCTCCATGGAGGCTCGTTTAAAGTTGGCGTACAGAGGCGCCCGATGGGGACTCCAGACAGCCCCTTCAACGCTGCCCACGGTGATGGCCGTGAGGAGGGATATCGCCGCGGTGTTGACTATATCTTCATTTATCTGGTGGCGGAGGCGAGTCTCCCGCTTGGCCTTGGGGTCGCTCTTACCAGGACGTTTCGGCGCGGAGAGGTTCGAAAGATGCAAAACCTCTTGCATTTGGGTAAAGGGAATCTGAAAGATTCCCATTTCAGAGACATTAGGACGATTCCCGGCAGCGACGTCTCTGATCCCCCGGATAAATGCCTGAAATGGCAAGTTCTGGCCGAGAGATTGCCTTGCCGACGCCAGATGCGACCCTAAAGCCAGCCCCGAGATATCCGTATCTTCGTTGGTTTCCCAAATGGCCTTGAGGAGTAGATACTCCTCCTGGGATATTTTTGAGCCAGACGCAATCTCCTTGCGACTATGGATTGACTTTCTGGATACCTGGAGCTTTTTGGCGGCCCTCACCCATTCCTCCCATGTTTCCGGTATGCCGTTGAAGGCCTTTGAAACCTTTGGCTGTTCGGTGGCCATTTCTATCTACTGCTGTGAAACTTTCTGACAAAGGTAGTGAATGTTTGAGGTGATGGCCTCCTGGAGGTCTGTTCAAGTGCGATCACAAAGCTTAACCAGCAGGGCAAGAGTAAGAGGAGGAATGAAGGTGATCAGGAAAGGGAAAGCTCATGGACTCGCTTTGAGTTCTTTTACTTTACCTTCTCTCACTTCAGTTTCTCCCACCAGAAAGCTAACTTACATAGGAATTACCTTTTCAACCATATAAAGACTCATTGAAACATTCTATGATAACATATTACAAAAACGTCTTCATCTCTTGATCTATTCAGATTCTAAACCCAAGTATGTATCTGTACAGCGCATCAGACTGAGATTTTTGGCCTGATGATGGCACTGTAGTAACCCGCTACGACGTACAAAGCCGCTCTCCATTACTAGGGGTAAATGCATAGACGAAATTGCGTGGAGACACCTGGGCAGTGACTATATGCCAGACTAGCAGCCTCCCTGCCAGCTAGGCTATTTAACGAATGCTCCTAATTATCTAGGGATATCAAAAAGCTGTTTTATCGCCCTCTATCCACCTTTTATTAGGAGTGCTACTATTGCTAGTCTTTCTATATATAATCAAATTAATTACTACTGAGCTTTATGAGATCTACTAGATAACACTTAATCAGTTCTAGTAAGCAGTTGTAACCCGTTTCCTTTTCATCTGCAGAAACAATCTACAATAAACAAAACTTCTGCAAAAGCTGTCATGCAAGTCTCCCGAGTTTCCACTTTGGGCCTAGTACCGACGCTAGTTGGATCTGACATCAGTGCGCTAGCCAAATATAGACTAGATAGGCACCTGATTGCATAGCTGTCTCAAACTAGTCCTGATTTGGCAGTGCAACAACCACGGCTTCCTGGAGCAAACAGCAAGACCTGGACGTCTTCATCTTCTCCTCATCTTTCGTCTTCTGCTCTTCTCCCACCATTCTCCCTCTCCTCGCGTTTTCAAGCTCCCTAGAATCTCCACTATCACCATGAATACCATGGGTGCTACTTCGCCGCAACGAGATGAACTGCGCGCTAAATACCAGGCTGCTGCGGAAAGTATACTGCAACGGTTATCCCTCCAGTTCACTATAAAAGCTTTCAATTCACTCGATCTCTTCGATCTCGGAGTTGATCTATTGCTATTCAACCCATTCGATGAAGACTTTCTGGCGTCCAAAAAATGTCTGTTTCGGCCTCTTCCTCAAGGCTTCCTTGCAGATTACTTCGTCGACTCTTCGAAGGTGCTGGATGGGGCCTGTAAGCGATTGCAGTTTCCGGATTATTGGCCACCTTCAGACCCTACCCGTTTGGTTCCAGTCGATCCCACACGCGAGGTCTACTCGTACCTCAAGATCCATTACAGGTGCATGGAAAGGAAGAGACCTAAAGGCCACCTGAAGGATCTGTCCAAGTGGGACTCTATTGGGTCTGTCACCAACCCTTTCCCTAAACTGCCCGTCGTTGGTGCTCACTGCATTTTTCTTTTTTTGTCTAGATGCGACGATGACTTCATAGATGCGGACTATTCCTACGAGCGGCCATATCCTTCCCCGCTTCCATTCTGGGACTACCTACTGGTAATGCAGCCATCTACCGAAAAAGGCGACACGGTCACCGCTATGCCCCCTATTCAACTCATCATTTCCAACAATACCACTGCGGAGGAGAACGAGCTTCTGCACGGCGAGCTCGGTCCGATAGTCCAGGCCGTTCACACTCGCCTCAACCAGCCCGGGTTTGAGAAAACATCCTTCTTCCCAGTATATCATCTCCTGCTTGCCTGTCTCTTATCTTTTTTCTAACGGTATTTACTGCTAACTCGTGGATTCAACAGGTCCAGGTTCTCTCGCTGTTCGAGCCCCGCCATGGTCGTATCCTCCAGGCTCGTTTCCAACCTTCTGGTCGGTTGGTCGTGCGGGCCTCAAACATATGGAGCTTTGAAGACAAGAGGAATGTTATTGACCTGTTTCTGCGTTTTTGGGTGTCCGAGCCTTGTGACGCGGAGGACTACGAGTTCTCCGTCGATGAGGACTCGCTACGAGATTTGTCGCAAGTCCTCAGCGTTCTTTCGCCTAGACCTGCCGTGGACTTGTTCAAGGCGGAGGAAGATTCGAGCTCTCCAGGAAGTCTGTCGCCATTTCTACCTGTTCCTATACCAAGCCTCGGCAAAGAGAATGTCCATCCCAGGAGTGGGAAGGAGTAGGAGTTTCTGGCGAGTCTACCCTCCTCGATCTCGTCCATCGTCTTGGTCGGTTTCCAACACATCAGGCGTCCACAAATGCACAGGGTTGAAATTATCGAATTTTGCTCTTTTTTGGGATGGAATCATTCCATTGTCATCTGTGTATCATTTTTTGTCTTGCTTCCAAATCATCTTTTGATAGATTTTGGTCTTTGGTGGCCAATCCCCGTCATAAATGTCTCCACTGGTGATAACCATCTATGCATTGTCCGTAGTGATATACCTAGAACTGGAATGAAGACAGCACCAATCCCCCACGTTTATTTTGAAATTGCCGTGAATCCCTGCTTTCCCTTCAAACAGTACATCTAAGAGAAGGGTCTAGACTACCGGGGCCTTGGTTGATATAATATACTATTTACTGAAAGAATACCCATTAATTCCTTCTGAGTCAAAGGCCCTCCGCACGCTCGCATAGACCCGATCCCAGTCTCGACACTGATGGATCACCTCCCACCCGTCTGTGGCCTGTTGGAGAGTACCGTTCTCAGCCCGTGCTTTTTCGAGAGTAGTATCTGCGGCACATATGATTGCCTAGAGGGTCAGTATGTATTAATCATTAATAAGAGAATTGGTGGATTTACCTGTCTGAGATAGTCCATACAGTGGTTCAGGTGTGCATTGCCATGAATGTGCATGTGCATCGGAGAGGACGACGCTGGGTCGGAATCAAGAGCCTGATAGAGAAGGCTCTATTTTTATCAGTTACGATACGGAAATAAGAA